TTGTTGCAGGTTCAGGCGATAAATTTTATCATGTGTACCGCAGTATTTCTGAGGAAACGCAAGTTATTATTGCAAGGAAGTTTAACGTCAGCCACACTTAATCGCTGACGACGTAGATGGCTTGGCATCTGTCCAACTCAAATTTGCCTCAGTGGCATCTGGATCTACTCTAGCCTTTTTTGGGGGAGGCATTTTCACTTTGTCGATCTAACGACGAAACAACACTGGGCTTGGTAACCATTCCATTTCAAATGTTCCCGGAGTTGTCGTTGTGTGTAAACGGTCAGGAATCCTAATATCCTTTCCGTGTAAACGCCTACGAATCCGAATACTCCAAAATTGATGAATCCGGAAACATTTACGAATCCGGCTAACTCTCCTCTAGTGTTAACCTAGCCTAAGAAACTGTTTACATTGTTCTTTTGCATTTTCCTCTTCAAAAATATTCTCCTTAAGACTCAGTGCTCTGCAATCTTGCTAAGTTTATAAACTGAACGTTAGGTGTATTAAGAAATAAAATACACTGTATAAAAAAGTCCTTATGATAGTTCTAGAGAGTAACGCGTATTTCTCGGTGACATGAAATTCATTTTGGCTGAAAAGACCTTTCGGTTCCAACACTTCTCATTCCTGGCGAGTAAATAACTTTTCAGCGTAATGGGTGGCTGGAAGAAGGTTGGACAGTCTCTCCTCTTTTCTGAACTGATTTTTTTTTTTTTTCATTTGGTTAAACCTAGTTGATCGCTTAATACAGGTTGACTGCTTCATGCAGGTTCCACTCGGGGCTTTATAAAGAATGATAAAAAACGTCGTTTTATGCGATGATTGTCAACTTAGGCCCCGTCCGACACGTCTTCGTATTCGTTTGACGACGCATCTTTTTTCTCCATTTTCAAAAAACTCCATGTCCACACGTAGCGTTTTCGCATCGTCTTCGCCCGTCCATACCATAGTTAGTTCCCCTCTACTAACTATGTCCTTACGTTCTAGATGAACCCATTTGAAAACTATAACCCGACTGCGCATGCTTGACACTTGATCATATTGCGCGGAGTGGATTGGAACTGATAGTGTGTGACGTCAGCGTTTTCGAAGAGTTCCGTTTTCGCCCTTCCACACGTACACGCGAAAACAGCGTTTTCAAAAAGTTCTTCTGTGGAGAGCGTTTCTGAAAAGTTCCGCTTTAAGATACTGATCAATACAGATGGAGTACAATACAAACAAGCCGTTGGGAGTTAGTAAAGGGTGACCACGCTGGAAGCTGTAGGAAGAGGTTATCAGGGGCGGGGTGAGCAGGTGGCCGTTTAAACACGCGCGTATATGCGTACCTACTTCCGGAAATCAATAAATCCTAATATATTTTAAGACTGACTGTTTTCGCAAAGTTTTTCACAGCACCTTGCTGTTGTTTCATCGTAAAAAGTTCGAACTCCCAAAACGGAACAAATCTTACGTGGTTAATAGTTGGTGAACCCCCACCCCTAGGGCTTTCAGGAACCAATCAGATTTAAGAAATATTTAATTGAAAAAATAAGGTAAATATGGGCCAGGATATTTAAGGTTTTTTCGTTTGAAGAGCTTGAAATTCAGCCGGACTGCTGCAATAATAATTTATAAAAATGAAAAAAACACCATCAGGATGGCAAGTTTTTTGGGAAGACCTTCATTTTCCTTAGAAGTTAGCTGTAATGATGAAAACAGCCACATTGATGATTAAAATCATAGTAATTACACTAAAAAATATTTATCATGATAATAATGAATGATAATGATGATGCTTACCATCATTATTATCATTATGATTATTTTAAATTTGACAAAGGATCTTCTTCATGGGGTCTGCCAAGAGAAAGTGTAAAGTTCACATAAAAAATTTATTTTTGGAAAAAACAAACAGTGTGGGTCTCGACAACCACAGGGTATGGCCCAATGTTCTGTCTAATTTCCTGCACAAGGTAACCCTCGCACCATAATATCAGTATGCATATTCTCCATACTGTTCTCTAGACATTTCCTAAGGTGCTGACAAGGAGAATTTGTATAACAATGAAGAGCTTCTTTAGTTGGTGATCATTTCCTTTATCCTTAACTTGTGATCTCGATGTGTGACCCAGCCATGATATTCTTTGGAGAAATTAGATGCTAGTCACTCTTTGGGTTTGAAAGGTTAATACTGTGTGGTGAACTTTAATCCACTATCAGATCAAATGAAAAGTGATCCTGCATAAAGATTCTGCTAGGTCACTCAGACAGCTTTTTTATACTCCAAATTATGGTAATTGTTGCTTTTCTGAGATCATCTAGTAAATATCTTAATGAGGAAACAAAATTACTTATCACTGATTTATCAAGCAAAATGGTTTATGAGAATGATAAAGAGAGGGTCTGGTTGGGGCTGAAGTAAACAAAGCTTTTTTAAAGATGTAAACACTACCATAAAGCTAGGGGTTAATTTTTCAAAAAATAAATCACAAAACTGTTGAAACACTATAAATGGACCTGTTACCTCCCTGAAGAATTATTATGCATTTGACTCATTAATGGAATGATTGTTTTCCTGAAGTTAGTGTTTAGGTGCCATAACCTTTTGAGATAAAATTTCTACCAAAAGGAAGTGGGGGAATACTAATCTAAAAAGCATGATCTTTTGGTATTTATTTAAGATTAGTTTAGGAATTGATCTGCCTAAAATTGTGAACAGGAAGCAGACAAGAGAATTTAAAAGATAAAGGCAGTTTCCGCACACGAAATAGTCTATAGGTGAAATAATTAGTCTTTGGAATGCTGTGCCCATTTCTTCAAAAGATGCAAAATATTTTGAATGAAGATAATGAAATGCTGAAATTTCTTTGGTAAAAAGTGGGCACAATATTTACTCGGTACATGCTTGAACAATATGCAGAATAGAATGATAAATGAAGATAAAACTAAAATACATTGCTAGTTTGGTTTATTATCATGATTGAAAAAATCAAAAGTATCATGGAGCAATTATTCAACCAAGAATTGGGGCAGCATAATATATTACATAAAAACGTACCCAGAAAAGGAATTACGTCCTGTGATAAATCTGGCTCCTGCTGGGTAAATTGCTATGCAGCAGACAAATATAACTGGTCTTTGAACAACTGAGGCCTGGCGGTTGTTCTTCATTAATTATATTTTGCCGTGTCTGCTTTTTTGGATAATCATGCAACGGCAGCAATCATTACATCAAGAACGAAAAAAAAAAAAGGCACAGGTAAAGATAGTGAAACTGACTCTGATAAGCACCTCAATAGCTGACAAACTCCACACTAAATTCCCCAAGTTCCAAATAGCATTGTGTGCATATTTCTTGCTCTGAATTAAAAATGTAAATATCATTTCATGGTTCTGCACAGTGATCAGTATGTCATTTGTTCAACAAAAGTAGAACCTCAGAAGCAAATTAAAAGAACAAGGGACTTCGTTATTAGTTTGTATGTGATAAAAATCTTGCACAATATTGCCTAAACAAGAATTCTGGAGTGAATAATGTTGCATAATCAGCAATTCATTTTAGCTATCATTCACACCCTATCACAATATGTTTGTTTGTTAATTAGTGTACATTGTCCTAACAATAATATATACAGAAATGCTACCGAATAAATAAACTCGCGAGTTAAGTTCTATATAAGATTATTACTTTGATTACTGTGTGTTCAAATAAAAAACTTCTTGCAGAACCGAGTAGTTAACAAATAATAGAAACTAAATAAAATGGACTGTGCGAAAGCCCATCCAATAAATAAATGCTGCATAAATCGTTTCCAGTTTAACGGTTATTTCATTTGAGCCATTGACTTTCGAGATTTATTACCATGGAGAATTAAAATTATTAAATTGGATTTTCCTCTGGTTTTGGATGGTGGCCTTCCCAAAACAAGATGTGTGTAGGCAAGGAGGGGAAAAATTGATCTGAATGTTTTTTTTTTTTCAGTGTTTTCCTATTCATTAAAAGGCTGATATAAGAGGCGTTAAGCCTTCGGACAGGAAGTCTGACCTTGACTTTGACCGCTTGGGGATGTTTAATAAAAGCACAAATTTGATGTGTACATGTGATTAAACACGATCCAATGTTTTGCTAGTCTGTAATTCATAATTTCTCGGTAATCTTGGCTGACTTGACATATTGAGCCTACAAATAACATATATTTTTTTTAACGCGTAAAGGATATTGTGTGCTAAGACTGACAGGAGATTCCATTCCAAAGTCCGGAAATCGACTACGTCCTGCTCACGAAACAATGTGAAATTGAATAGTGTCGCATGCAATTCACGAGCGCGGATGGGCAGCTTGAAACTACCTTGGAAAAGTGATTAGTTTCTCGGCTATCTCTTGTATTTTAAACAACCCTAATGAATTCAGATCATAACAAATAAAACGACAGTTAATCGAAACAAAGCAACCACGTTCACATATACAAGCGATGATCAATCGCTACAAGCAATTCTTAAGGAAACAAGGACACCTCAGCTCGATATTGCCCACAAAGATTTTAATATCAGTCTTAACATTTGATCTTAATCAGAACCTCGTCAAATTTATAACACAAATTTCCAAAACTCAATTGAAAATCGAAGTAAGTTCGCTGTAATAACAGTTTAGTATTTCGCTTTCGACATCTCATAAATTATACATTGCCTAAAAGAATGCACGCCAGTTTCGCAAGGCGACCAGTCCATACTATTCCACTACGCTTTCGTTGATCAACATGGCGATTGTCAACATTCCCAAATGATTCGAAGTTTAAGTCTTTCGCTAAGTTCTTCAAGAACCACAGCATTTTTAGTTGGGAGACGACTCTCTCCAAAGTCTCACCGATTTGCTTATGAACATCAACAAGATAATTCCATTTAAACAGTTTTCTCCAACATAACGCCGGGTAACTGGCACTGTCCACGCGCTTTAACCACACATTTCCCCTCGTCCTTCTTCATATCTTGGCTAGTAGCTTACTGTACGTAGTATATCTTCTAATTTTGTTCCTTTAAGGTATTATTACAAAAAAAGGTACCAGTAATGCTGCGTTGAAGAAAGATACGGCGGAATTATACAAATAGAAACGGATAGTGCAAACTGACAACAACAATGCGGTAGGAAATCATCTCACTGGTTGATGATTCGCGTTTAGAGTTTGTGTCTTGGGGCTTGTATCGGAGGCTTGAAGTTTTGAGAAAGCTGCCAAAGCATCAGGAAAATTTGGGGGTGTAGCCGGCGTATTTGCTGGTGTTACAAGCTAGAAGAAGATAAGTAAAAATTGTTGAATGAAGATCATCAACGGCATAAATTGCCAACGAGAGAGATACGATGGACACTTACCGGATTGTGTTGATTATGGGACGGAATAGCGACTTCTTGAAAAAACAGACTTAGAGCGGTCTAGAGAGAAAAAGAAAGGGATGCAGCTAAGCATTTCAGACGATCTAATCGAATGTATAAATCTGTAAACACGGTGTGCCAAGCCGCTTGGACATCACGTCGAAATCAAAACAATCGCTCTATTACCTCGAACTGCCAATGTGCGGCCTGTAGAAGTTGTTTTGCTTGGTCTCTGGCGCACCCGGCAACCATCACAAACTGATTTATCATGGCCTGCTCTTTTAATGCGTCCATCTCAGCAAAGAACGGGCCAAAAACACCTACAACTTGCACCCGCTTTCGATGTCGGCGAGGCGAAAGGCCGAACACACCAAGTGTGTTTTTGCTAAATGATCACGTGTCATAACATGACGTCACTACAAAACAAATGAATTGATTGGTTGATAATTTTAGAAAAATGGTCTGATGTGACATTGCTATGGAAACGTAATCGAAAGAGCAAACAGTTCAAACCAGAAGTGGCTCGCATTCAAGTGAATGTCAATCAAAACAATACTTTTATCCGCCGTATTCTATGAATTGACGTTCAGAGAAAAGCTTCCTAGATGATTAATCTCCAGCAGTTAACTTTGCGTAAGGTTTTTATCTGCCTCTCATCTGACCGAAGTAGATCTCAGCTGTCAGTCTGTTTGTCGAGTTACGTAAGTACACGTGTAAAGTACAATTCGGTATGATTTGGTCACGCGATAAGGAAACTGAAAGATCCGCACATGTAGTGACTATGCTTGGATCACTGTCCTTTCTGCATGTATTAGCGTAATCGATTGAAAACTGAAAAAGGGTAAACAAAGGGAGAAGTGACGCACAGCGAAAAAGCGGAAATACCTCTGTGATATTGGGTTGATTTTGTCATATTTCACTTTTACATAGAAATTGTCTTTCTCGGAATTATGACCACAAGACCTATTTCCCACCTGCACAATGGAAAACTTCAAGTTCAGCATGGGAAAATTAAACAGACAAATACAAACTTGCTTTTGAGGCATTGTTGTGGTTGTTGATTAAGTTTGGCGGCAACATTTAAATACTTTCCTCGCGATTGAACCCGGCATCGTGTGTGGTTAGTCATTCAGTAACAAAGCAGGCTTGTATCGATGGCATCATGCAAATCTTTGAATTGTGTTCTATTAAACGGAAAGAGCTTTTCCCGCCCTCTGGGTTTAGAGCTTTCCATTTGCGGTCAGATCTTTATTTGCATACGGGATCAGGTTACTTTGTAAACTTTCCCTGCAAAGCTCAAACACGTTTAGTCAAGTGTGACCTAACAGCTAAGGAAATTAATCCCTTCGAAATATTTTTTCTTTTTAAATTATTTGTTTTTGAGCTTAGGAACACTTCTCATATCTAACACTAACTCACGCTTAGCATGTGTTTTTGTTCTTGCCGCTTCCAAATAGAAATTGCTGAATTAAAATAACGTGCCAAAAAGAGAGAGAGAGGGATGTAAAATAAGCTATGGTGCACTACAATAGTTTAGAGCTCCTTTTCAGGGACCTCTCTGCCTACATTACATTCTTGTTGGAGAGGGGGCAGGCTTACGCAAGCTACCGTCTGTACCCCGGTGGAATGCTAACCGCCGAGAAGGACTGGTAACCACTTACATTAAACCGTCACTTCATGATCTTGCCACGTTGTCTTGAAAACTTTTTCTTTTCAAGTTTTTTGATGTACTTTCAGTTATTCTAGAATTGCGTTAATCTCTGCTAAATGTCATCAAAAGGAAGCAGGTCCAAAGTCTCTTTCAAATTATTTTCAGCAAATAATTATTCGCAGTTGGCGAGCAGATTCCCATTTCTGAAAAAACGACAGATCAAGACGAAACTTCTTCAATCCTGGAAAAAGTTTCAGTCCAGTACCGAAACCACGACGAGCAAAGGAGAGATTCAGAAACCAAAATTTTTGAATGAGATTGTGGCCAGTGAAGGTGAGGTTGTTAAGTTTTTTCCTTCCGACGAGCCAATGTAATGCATCGAGCTTGGAAGCTAGATGTAAAGTAACGAACTTTTGAATGCCTTTGTTCTTAGTTTTCGTCATCTTATATATGCAGACCAGTCACTTGTTTCTTCTAATGGCGGTTAAAAGACTTGGGAGAATGGAAGGAGGCTTCCCGGTTTACATATTGGGAAGCAAGTTTTACAGTCCATTGAGGGCTAATAACAACAACAACAACAACAACAAAAAACAGAGGAAAAAAACCTGATGATTTGATTTCCTTCGATTCTTAGATTATGGAGAACTATTCTAGCGGAATAATAGAAGAGTACATTGATTCACTGAGGTTTAAGAACACTATTTTGCCTCGTAATTAACACGTTAAGAGTTTAAAAACTCTTTCTTTTAAGCCGAGAGTGGCCCGCTAAAGAGAAGAGAGGAAGATGTCTTGCAGAAGAAATCTGAGCGTTCACCCATTATTACATACTCAGTCAGACAGCGCAATCAAGATGACTGTGCTAAGAGGAAAAACAATGACACAGCAAGTGAAGTGGATTGTACATCCTCACTGATCGGCATGAGTAGAGCTTCTGACGATTCAAAAATGGTAGACAACAAACTACTCTCAAAAAGAAGAAAACAAAACGAGTTGATCGATCTTTTTGAGGAGATAGACGCAGAAACGTTGTTGATCGAGCCAGAGCATATTAGGAGTTCCGATATCGATTTAGTGTCGAGTACTGCTGGCAGTTTTGATCACAACGAGTGGCTGAAGAAGCTCAGAGAAGTAACATTCGTAGAGGTACTCGGTGGGAGAGGAAAAGTTTTTGCCTTGTCACGCAACGGATTGAAAGGACCGTTGCGTGACTGCCTAAAATGTCGACGGGGAAAACACTGCACTTATCGTTTCGTTTTTCTCTCTTTTTTTTTTTAGAGGCTATGTTTTCTCCTAAAAATAAGCTCAGAGGCTTAGGAATAATCTTTTTCCACTAGACATTGACTATTCCCTCCGAGGATGAGAATACAAACCGAGATCATGAAATATTAAGGATGTTTTAAATTATCTGAAAAAAATTAAAGTCTTCAAATAGCCTGTTTCAGGCGCTTCGTTGGTTAACGAAGCGCGATAGCAACGGAGGAGTGAAAAAAAAACCAGGGGAGGCTGGGTCGGTTCTTCATTCTACCCGACCCAGACTACCCCCGCCTTTTCACTTCTCGCTTCGTTTACCAAACTAAACACCCGTGTCAGGTGGTCCCAAAAACTCAGTATTACTGTTGTACTAAAAAGACACTGCCTTGCTAAATATTTCCGGGGAGGATTTTTTCTTGGGTTTATGCTGTTGAATTTTCACGTTTCTAAACAGTGCTACTATTATGTCCACTTTGCAGCTTGGTGAATATTCTGCATACGTCATTCACTAAAATGCAAAGGGTAGGGTTATGTTTTTTCAGAGAAGGCTATTTCAAGGCATTGGTTTTATAACTCTGGTTATGTAATTCAAGTTACCTCATCAATTTTAGAGCAACAACACGGTGTCTGGAATGTTCAAGTGGCGAGCCGACGGAAAAAAGAATACACAGAGAAATGTCGACGAAAATAAACATAAATCAAGGTAAAATCATTCTCCCGACAGCAAGTAGTAACTGATTTTCTTTTCTTAATTCCCCGTGAACGAAATGCGCGCGAAACGGAAGCGTTGGTACTTCACGCGATCACAGCTGGTCGAGAAAATAGCAGGGGCGAAAGACAAAAATAAGCAAAGAAGTACTCTTGTGAGAGTACTCGTTTCGTCCTGTACTTCAAACATCATTTGATTCGAAATTCAAGTGTATATCAATTCACACCTTTTGAAAAATTGAAGTTTAGTGTTAAGTGTGTAAAGAATTTAGATGACTCGAGTTCGAATTCTAATGTTAATTTTCTTTTCAGGTTTTTAGGGAGTAACGACTATGAAGGCGGCAGTAACTTCTTCAGCATGTTTGAACACGAGGACGACATCTTTCTTTAAGAAAAAAGTTCATTCTGCCTCAAAAACTAAATTGGAGCTAACATGTTCGTTGCGAAGATTTCAACCGATCAAACTTTGCGCTTTAATTCTCTCATTTAATGTTAACCCTTTAACTGCCAGCAGTGATCATTCTATCACCCAGCAAACAAGTTTGAGAAAACTCGAACGTATCACGTAGATGTCTTAATCTAACATCAAATTCTCGTAACTGTTGTACAAGTTAAATGCGTTGCAGCTAGAGGAGATAATTAACAATTAGATCTTAGTAGTTATAGATGAATGAAATTCGATAAAGTGGGGAAGGCAGCCTGTAGAACGTGTAAAATATCATTTTTACACAACTTGCCTTTTATTTTTTTATCTGTTTCAACTTCATAAAAGGAGTATTCATTTTACAAAGTGACATGTTCGCCTCTGTTTTTTGAGTACATTGAGGACATACTTTTGGATTACTTTGCGCATGGCAGCTGGAAAAATGACTTAAAAAAATTAGCAAGTTTGTCTTTTAAGTGTACTTCAGCAACGATAAATGCCATTAACTTGAATTAAAATTAATCACAATTACAGAACACCATCGATAATATGTATTGAATTCGTATAGCAACATGAAGATAATTACGCCGAGACATCAAAAAACTTTTTCATCATGACTTCTACATCCTCCTCTGAATATTTGATGTACTTTTCAGGATTCTTTGTGAAAGGTAAACTAGCAAATCTACAGAAGAAAAAGAATCACATTCAACCAAATCAACGTGGCATTGGAAATTAGGTATAGCCTGCGAGTAAGGCGCTTATTGTAAGCGCTTTGGCACGAGCGCCCGCGGGAAAGTGAGAGGCCTTGAGCAACGCCCGCGAGTTCGGGCATTATTAGTGCTAGACCCCTCGTAAGCCTTCTTCCCGACTCGTCCCTTATATTCTCGCAGGCGGAGAAACGCGGGTTCTACAGCGCTGATAATGAAGGCCTGCGAGCGGGCGAATTAAAATGTAGCGTAAGTAACCATGCGCTTCTTAAAACCCCTTAAAGCCAACGAGATTTGTTGGTGAAGTTTCTTGTGAAGGGAACAACTTGATTATTATCTTAGCTATGAAAACAATCGAACTGCCCTCTGCGACGTCTTATTGTGAAAGATTACAACCCCAGGAGAACATAAGCGTACCATCTTCCACTATAATAACAGAGTCACTTTCCTGTACCGTGGTACTTATAAAGGATTTCTTAAAACTAAGAAATACTGATTTCAAGTCAACTTACTTCTCTCGAAATGTGGTGTAAAGGGGTAGAATTAGCTCCACATTTTCATTCCGTAGTTGATCTCGGAGCTGTGTATCAGGGACTGCATAGGTTTTCTGTATCTGGTATAGTTCTTCAAATTCTGTGTTGAAACCCTGGAAGGGAAAAAGGCATTTTCTAGGTAGTGACATTCATTAGCCCTATTAAAAGTGCTTGTCAAGCCCCACCATCGGTAAGGACTAAAACTGAGCACTCGTTGTGAACAACCCAGTCATTTCCACCACTAACCCTCTCCCTCTACCCCCCAAATAAATAAATTAATTAAAACAAAACACAACAAAACAAAACAAAGAAACAAGAAAAATGAAAAAAGAATGCCGTTAAATATTAAAAAGTCCTCAACACAGAGGCAGTACTCGACTTGGGAGAAAATAGTTGGGAGAAAGGCGGGTGGGGAAGGGGGGGATTGCGAGTGGGAAGGGAAGGGAAGGGCATCGTTTCACAAACTAAATATCACTTTTATCAAATCTCCCTTTCAATGTTTACCTTGAACTTGTCCTTTATCATTTGTCGCTGTTTGTCTTTCAACTACACCGAAAAAGAGATTAAAGGTTGCGTATGAAAAATGAAAAGTAACAAGTCCATGTTTACGTGGAGGCCTAGGAAAATGAAATCAGGTGTGTATTTTTTTGCACGCGTTTTATTGGGGATAAAAAAAAATAAATGAATAAAAATGATTTGGATAGCAGTTTGACTACTGAGTAAAACTTAAATGAAAGAGGATCGAGTTTTTCAGGGTAAAGTTATGAGAAAAACAATCAAACAAACAAACCAAACGAAGTGAAAAAAAAAATAATTTGAAGGTAGTGGGAGTGGGCGGTACAGCAACCTACACCTCTTTTTGGGCCAAAAAAAAATCCACGCTTGTTTAGTCAGGACGAAATAAATATTGTTTAATACTCTGGTGCCTTTACTTACCTTGGCTTGTGGATCATTTGCTTTATGACCTGACATTGGTTTCTCCATTTCCAATAAAACGTTAAGAACTTTGTTCCAACTAGAAGAGAACAAATATTTTATTAATCTAGATATCAAGCAAACAACGACTTAAGGTCGGTCTGTCAGTCAAACAGTCAGTGAATTAATCAATGAGTCAGTCATTTTTCAGTCAGACAGTCATCTGTTAATTACTCAGTCAGTCGGCCAGTAATGGCTCAGTCAGACAGTCATCTGTTATTCACTCAGTCAGTCGGCAGTCGGCCAGTAATGACTCATTCAGACAGTCATCTAGCATTCATTCAGTCCTTCAGTCAGTCAGTCGGCAGTCGGCCAGTAATGGCTCAGTCAGACAGTCATCTGTTAATCACTCAGTCAGTCGGCAGTCGGCCAGTAATGACTCATTCAGACAGTCATCTACCATTCATTCAGTCCTTCAGTCAGTCAGTCGGCAGTCGGCCAGTAATGGCTCAGTCAGACAGTCATCTGTTAATCACTCAGTCAGTCGGCAGTCGGCCAGTAATGACTCATTCAGACAGTCATCTACCATTCATTCAGTCCTTCAGTCAGTCAGTCGGCAGTCGGCCAGTAATGGCTCAGTCAGACAGTCATCTGTTAATCACTCAGTCAGTCGGCAGTCGGCCAGTAATGACTCATTCAGACAGTCATCTAGCATTCATTCAGTCCTTCAGTCAGTCAGTCAGTCCGTTCGTAAGTCAGTCAGTCTTTCAGTCAGTCTGCCCGTCAGACAGACAGTTGGTCAGTCTTCAGCTAATCGGTCAGATGGTCAAGCAGTCAGTATTTTCATTCTCCATTAGCCAGCCAAATCAAACAACCAAGCGCATGGTAGCACAGACAAATTTAATATAGTACCATTTTTGATAGGTTCCCTTATGCTCAGTGATCAACTGCTGGTATTGGTCTTCAACTCCTGTAATTCCACCTTCTTGAAGAAGGGTTAGAAGACCTGACCTATATGCAAGAAGAGCAAAGTTTCGGCGGCAATGATTCCCAATTTCACAGCACCATGGGAAACTTGAAATTACCATTAACCTTACGCTTTTTGTTATCTATCGTAATTCGATTACGGAATCCGCGTTTTAGTTGGCTAACCGCACTAGCAACGAGGTAAAGTAATCGTCAGAAGGGCTGTAAATTATAATTAGCAAAACTTAACCCAGCGGATTTGTGGGCAAGTCATGAACAGCGGTTCTGAATCTCAGAATTGTCGAAAATTCAACAGTTGACAGAATTTTCAAGAGCTCAGTAATAAACGATCGTAGCGCTTACATTCAAGGCCCGTCTAAGAAGGCCACTAGCACTTCAATTGGTTTATTTTGTCGCTTTTGTTTGCAACTCGGAGAATCTGGTTTTGGTTCTACAGGCACTTAACCAAATACCGAATAGGTCTGCGTTTAGTAACTTCATGTTGCCTTTAATCTATCAGGGTTCAGATGCATGGTCGGCTTCACAGAAAAATCAGTATCTGTGTTACGTGCATCATGGCTTACGCGTACGGTAATTCACTAGAGCTAATAACTCTGCCTATTTTTGATTTTCCAAGGATCGCTAATGGTTATTAAAAATGTAAACTATCTTGTATCAAACCATTGATGCCGCTTAGCAATTGTACAATAGCTACCGTCTCAATATATTCGCCCCTCTTACCTTTGTAAGGCCTTTACTATGTAATTGTAGTTGTTCAGAAGGAAGAGAGAGCTGAGCGTTGGTGCCTCGTATACTCTTGCCTTGAGCTCAAGATTCAGACCCAGTGCCCCAAGCACACGTTCTGCATTAGACAGATACGAGTTGATGTCAAAGGAATATTTTACCTACGACCATTTTTATGCACTTTTATCCATCTATTTTTCACTCCTCTGCAAGGATTGTACGAGTGCAAAGATTGTATTCTTTTAAATTGAGTGCGCTACTAATCCAGTTTCGAAATCTCTTAAAAACAGACGCGTAAAATCTTGTAAAAAAAAATATGAAGACAACTTGATACTCACGAATATATTCAGAGACAAATTTCACGAAGAGTTCTGTTTCTCTTGTCAAGAAATTTCCACTCTGGTCCTCTGCAATATAAAGCGTAATCAACAGTGTGGCAGAAAAAGCGAACTTTTTAATGCGGTCAGATTATAATCTTTGCCGCAGTACTTTGCGATTTCCATAGCTCAGCAATTGCAATTGCTATAACAGCTCAGCGGGAACACATTTAACAATTTTAAACTAACTGATGGAAAGACTACATGAAACCGTCTCTCGAGACGATTCGCCATCACCCAGCCCGCACTGCTGGCGCACGATTCAACCGAGCGCCACTAGCCGAGCGCAAGCTAGCAAGCACGAGTGAGGTCATGCGCGCGTGTCTGATCTTCCTCGCGCGTCTCCCTCGAGATCTCTCGCCTACCACGTAAGCTGACTCTTACCTTGCATTGTTACCAACATGCTTCCTACTGTTTCAGTGTAAGGCAGGAGCTGCTCCATGAAAATCAGTGTCTAAAATCAAACGAAAATGTGAAAGAAAGGAGACTGAATACAATTATAATTTTGACTTTGTGGTGTCGTTTTTGAGCAGTGAAAATAAAAATGTCCTAACAACCCATATTTACTAATCATAATCAGTGCAACGACAATACAAAAAAAGAAACACAGTATTTTTAAAGTCAAATCATTTATAAATTCTAAGACATACATTTCTGGTGAGTTCGTGAACTGTTCCATCGCTTGGCATGTTAGAATGCTTATCAGGGCCATGCTGAAATGAAAATTCAAGATAATCTTTACAACAACATCTGAGATGAAAGTCCGCCTTAAAAAGGGAGACTTTAAAAATGAAGGCCACCAATCAAAACCTTAAGAAGGCCTACAGTATTTTTCAGATCAAGGCGGGAGGAAAACTTTGCATGCTATCGACAAGCGGCAAATGTAAGTTTTTCAAGAGTGACCACGTTGTTGGCATAGCGGATGCACGAGACAACAAGAAATTCTTAAAAACCCACGATTACATTAAAAATAACTTCGTTTCACCTTTATGCCGTCCGCAAAATCGTCCAAGGCCTTAGCAGACTATAAAACAAAAGAGACATCAAGTAAACTTATAAATGTGTGTAGCAACTTTCATTTTTTCAACTTAAAATACAACTGTCTATTGACTTAAAAGTCAATATAAAGTTGTGTTTTAATGAAAACGTGCAAGACTGCCCTATAAATGATGGTAATCTTATGTCACTCGGACAAATTTGCAATGAAGTTTGGTTATAAGTATATCTGAAGTAGTTCGTATTTTCGTTCTTTTTTCGAAATGTCTTATGAGGCAACCTGTTTATGCACCGATCAATTCGAAGTCTCCCTCTCGGAAACCGACGAGCATTTGACCTCCAAATGCCTAGGGGGCTACCAAAATGCCTAGGGGACTGCCCAAATACCTAGGGGACTGCCCAAATGCCTAGGAGGCCGCCCAAATGCCTAGGGGGCTGCCCAAATGCCTAGGGGGCTGCCCAAATGCCTAGGGGGGCTGCCCAAATGCCTAGGGGGGCTACCCAAATGCCTAGGGGGGCTACCCAAGAGGAGGATGCTGAAGCTTAGAATCGATGGAGGCATTACTTGATTGGCTGAGATGACTCACCACGGACTCCAAGGCATGAATAAGAGTAGGGAACTGTCTTTGAGTGCTGTGAAATGTCTCCTGCAAGAAAAATGAATCCAGCTCTTGCAAACAAAGAAAACAAGAAATCTTTTGAAAGGTTCTCTGTTATGCGTCTGTAGAGAGCCAAGCTCACAGGACTTGTCCTTTTATCTAACTTATCTCTATAGGAGACACAAACTAAAACAACATCAACAGTAACTTAATTAACAAATGGTAAACACCACACCGTACACTATTGAGTTATGGATGCACGCGGGAGGTTGCTAAGCACGAAAGAAGCGTAAGAGTCGCTCGAGGCGATAGCCGAGAGCGACTCTAGCTTCTTGAGTGCTTAGCAAACCTCCCAAGTGCATCCATAACTCAATAGTGTACGCTGTGGTGTTTACCATTTGTTTTATAACATAACATTGATACATTGTAGCTAAAGAGTTCCCTTTTATTTAACAAATCTTACGTGACCAGAAAAAACAAGCGCGCGCGGAAAAATAGTCTTTGCATTTGCTCACGTCAGCAGCGTACACCCATGGGCAAATGGGGGACGCTAAATTGACCAATCAGAGCGCGCGCTTTACTTTGGTTATGTTATAAACATCTTTCTATAAAAGTCTATTGTTTT